TGAGCTTTTCTGTCACATCATGGGTTAAATTTCTATATGATCATCCCATAGCAGCCATTAGGGAGGCTATCTTCTACATACCCTTTAAGAAGGGGTACATATCAGGGTTTGCTCACCTATGTTATACTCACCTGCTTTGTGCAGTGGTTGCACAGAAAGGAACTGATCCTCCTCTTCTTGGGTCCCCAGCTGCGATCTTGGCTCCTCCTCTTCTTCTTGTGTCTCCATAGTATGCAGTTTGTTATGGAGGCACATGGTATCTGCTCGCTGCCAAGCTGTGTGTCTATGGAGCCGCACTCTATAGATATATACAGCAGGACTTAGCCCCACCCCCAACTTCCTCCTCACTGCCTTTGATTGACAAAAACCTTATTGCCAGGAATGTGTTTCATTAGGTGTTTAAAACATACAGTGACCTGTGCTGAACCAAAGAACTCACCCATGAACCACCCATGAACAGTATTTTTCAGCTTCAGGGCACCATAAATCTAGTACTTGTGTGTTTTTATATTATCATGGGTTCATTGCTATTATTTTATATATGTACAATTTAGTGTACACAAATACTACACAATAAAGTGTTCACTGTAAAGCTGTCAGATATATTTAATCTGCAATTATAGTAGCCTTCAATGAAAATTGTACCTGATAAATCTGGACATGTATACAATATTTTATTTCATAGAATAAATATCCCATAGTCAAAGCAGTGTGCATCTGTCCTTCAAGAGTCCCTGTTAATCCCAAAAGGCAATCCACAATTATAAAAATAATAAACTCATTTATAATACATCAACAGTTTTATTTCCTGTAGCTTCTTCCTCTTCTTTCAACATGTATCACTTCCCTTTAGTTTTTAGCTGCAGTGTAAATGTGCTTATACTTAGCATTCCCTCATTTAGATATGCTTTAGATACTATATTATTTTAGATACGTTAAATCTCATTCTAAAAGCAGAAATAAATTTTCAAATGGGCACCACAGTGGCTAAATGGTTAGCACTTCTGCCTGGCAGTACTAGGGTAGTTGGTTTGAATCCCAACCACGGCACCACCGGCATCAAGTTTGCATGTTCTCCCTGTGCCTGTGTGGGTTTTCTTCTGGGTACTCTGGTTTCCTCCCACACTCCAAAGACATGCTGGTAGGTTAATTGGATCCTGTCTAAATTGGCCCTAGTATGTGTATGTATGAATGTAAGTTAAAGACCTTAGACTGTATGCCCCTTGAGGGTTAGGGATTGATGAGAATGTACTATATATATATATATATATATATATATATATACATATATGTAAAGCACTGCATAAATTGACAGCGCAATATAAGTACCTGTAATAAATAATAAAATGAATACGTTAGTGCTGGTACGTACAGTTTAAAGCATTTTTTTCTTCTTTTTTTAATGTACAACATATCCCATTATTTTTCTTTTTCACTTCTCTTTTGCAAACATGTATGAATTAACACCCAGAATCTAAGCATAGCCAAAAGAAGAGTCATTATTCTAAAGAGGATGTTTAATTATCACTTGTTTTCTGATATAGTGTTCCATTCATGACTTGTGAATGTACTGCCTATTAGTGATCTACTATATAACCTATATCCTCCAATTTGGCTCTGCTGCTAACCTACCTAGCTGCACCCTTGCTAGAGTCCTCTGGTCTCCATCTGTCTAGGTATAACATCTTTCACACTAAAAAGCTTGGGACATTCAAGTGGAAGTACTGTAAGACGTCCAGTTTTACTTTTGGTAAGTTGTCTATAGAGGAAGATTGAGAGGTAGATTGGGGTAATACACCTTGACTGAAACCACAATTCCTGAACAACACAAATTAGTTATAAATGGAAATTTTTAAGCTTCATCTCACTCCAGAAGACAAACAATCACTCCAGAAGACCAACCCTTGTGTTGTGACAGATCCAACCAGTTGGAAAACTTTGTCTGTTGGTCTAGTTTTCTATACTGATAGAGCAGAGATTTATTTATTTATCGAGTTTATATAGCGCCAAAGGGTTTGCTCAGCGCTGTACAATAGAGGGGGGGGGACAATACATGAAACAGTACAGTAACAACAAACAGCACACAAGGGGTAAGAGGGCCCTACTCTTTCAAACTTACAATCTAGGAGATGAACAGAAATCAACTGGTGACAAAGGGCACTGTCTCTCAGGTAAGGAGTGGAAGACTGTTCAATGTTTGCTGACGAATGGTATAAGAGCAGGTTGGGTGCATGTCATAGTGATGTTGATTTACTAAAACTGGAGAGTGCAAAATCTAGTGCAGCTGTGCATGGTAGCCAATAAGGGGTTTATTTACTAAAGCTAGAGAGTCCAAAATCAGACTCCCTTCTGCATAGAAACCAATCAGCTTCTAACCTCAGCTTGTTCAATGAAGCTTTGGCAATGAAACCTGGAAGCTGATTGGTTTCTATGCAGAAGTGAGTCGGATTTTGCACTCTCCAGCTTTAGTAAATAAACCCCTAAGTGTCTAACTTCAGCTTGTTCAATTGAGCTTTGACAATAAAACCTGGAAGCTGTTTGGTTTCTGTACAGCACTGCACCAGATTTTGCACTCTGCAGTTTTAGTAATTCTCCCCCAATGTTTGTTTTCAAATGATTTCACCATCACATGTATTACCAACTCTCTACAAAGAGTGTTGGGAATTCAGTAGATATAAAGACTTTTGGCCATAAAAATCCATGTAGCAAATAGAATCATTATGCTAGGTAGCAACAGTTTGATTTCCGCTTAGGACATTCCCCACATAGTTTTGTATGCTTTACAATCATTTACCCCCAGTGCTCCAGTGTCCTCCTAAACCATGTTGGTGGTGTTACTGGCTTCATCTATCTTGGCCTTAATATGTATACATTTATGAAAGACTCTGATAAGAACATTAGATTGTAAGATTCTTTGGGAAGAGGCAATGAGGTGAATAGTTCAATAGTCTTTAAAATGAACCTGTCCTAAAATATTTCTAAAAACAACACACTGAACATCTGTACCTTGTGGGGCCTTCAAGTACCTTTGTCATTCTTCAAATCCCTGTGTTTCTTTGGGGTCCTTTAGATCATATGTCTAGGCAGTACGTGGGCCCTTGTGGCACCAAGCCATACCCGTGTTGTTTAACTGTCAAATACGAAAACACCTACTGCCCACTAAAGTTAAATGGGAGTGGGGGGAGACTTAGCGCCAGGAGGGGGCCAAGAGTTGAGACTCAAGGTACAGCCAAGGTCTCATATCCAAGGGGGGGGGGGTACCTAGGAACACAAGGATCAATCTAAAGACTAACACAGGTGCATGTAGATTTTTGCACTGACCATTGTTACCAGTGAAACATTTTCAAGGTCATGTTCACATTAAAGTGTTGTCGAAAAAGTTTTGAGCACTAAATACCTTAGTAAAATAAATAAATAAAGACAAAAATGGTAAAGAAAAGAGAATTACATTTCTAAGCCAGGGGCCCCAGTAGTCATAGGTCCCCTGTAGCCTTTGTTTCTATGCCACATCACACTTAATATAGCTACCATTCATTGGCAGCCGTGATGAATAATAATTGCTATTTCTCCACTCCTATGATAAAAGTGACAGCCGCGTCCTGCTTTGTCAGCACAGTGAGGATAGCCATATCATGCACCAAGTCACAATCAATAAACCTACTAGTGTGTTAACTAATGAGTATAAATTATTAGCCTAAAGAAGAGATATTACATATGTCCTGTCTAGTGCCCGTTACTACTAATAAATAAATGATAGACTAAAGTAGACATTTGGCGCTGAAATGATTAGGACCTGTGCAAATGAAATGCCTACAAATATATTAGCAACAACTGAAGCTCCTTTCATCTGCTGCTTAGGATTACTTGGATGTCTTTTCCAGACACTCGGAGAGGGAGGGGTACTGCTGGGCCACATTCTTGCTGGACACTTTGTTGTTTGATGCAATGTGTCAGACGTTCTAATTAAACATTAATGTATGGTGTCCTTTTGAAATAAGTCAGCGGAGTTTAAGTATATTAAAGTCACAGTTTAGAGCTGTTTGTACATGTTTTCCTTTAAAAAGCAATTTGTATAGAAATGTAAATGATAACGATAATTTGTATTTTATGTGAAATGTTACTAATGATTGAATTTTGTTAATTGAGTATTCTGGAATCCCAGTCTCTAAAATGTCTTATTTAACATGTTAGGGCTCGTTCATGCATGCAAGTTACGTTATACATTAGCATGCAGCGTGCTAAGGCAGCCCAATCATTTGAAAGCTATAGCAATGAACTTCTATTTTTTGGACTGTTAAAAATAACATTGGAAGCATTTTGCTTAATCTGTACAATAAGTGCAAAACGATATCCATTGATGGTGTCAGAGCCATCCTGTGCACACTATGGGGTAGATTTACTAAAACTGGAGCAATCAGAATCTGGTGCAGCTGTGCATGGTAGCCTCAGCTTCTAACTTCAGCTTGTTCAATTACACTTTGGCAATAAGACAAGGAAGTCGATTGGTTTCTTTACAGAGCTGCATCAGATTTTTACACTTTCCGGTTTTTATAAATACCCCCATTGTGTGTTATTGCAAGGAGTTCACCCAGTTCTTATCTTAAAGGCTAAATTCTACTTTTTAAAAAAAATATTAAATGCACATTTTTTGTAGGTAAAAAAAATTGCATTTATTTATTTATTTTAGGAGCCTGTAAAGCATTACACCTGCAAGCACCAGAACACGGGTGCAGTGTCAGGCTCCTACAGACTGTCAGTGTAGGTGTCTGTCTGTACCTCCAAAATGGGCAGGCAGTTACTGAAGTCCAGGAAGATCAATAACCTCACCAGTGCCCTCTTAGTTCATTAAGAACTACAAGCCATCAGCCACATTGACTGACAGCAGTTCATTAATTCAAAGAACAGAACAGAATTCTATGAATGAATGGCATGGCTGGGTGGGCAGAGCCCCAAATAGCTGTGGAGTATTTGAATTGTGACAGTGGGTGTACCATACCCACTGACCAGGGGCGGACTGACAACTCATGGGGCCCCCGGGCAATAGGGGATCATGGGGCCCCTGTGTCCTTGCCCAAACTCAAAAAAGCCTATGAAAAAGGTACCAGGGGCATCTCATGGGGCCCCCTACTGATCCTGGGCCCTAGGGCAGTGCCCGAGTTTCCAAATGGTCAGTCTACCCCTGCCACTGACTCTCATTGTGATTGTACACTGTGGTGATTCATTCCTGGGACCTGCTTATTGGCTGTGTCCAGTCACAGTCTAGAGCCCCGTGTTGACAATCAACAGAGGGCTCTGTACAGAGTCTCTTTGATTATTTTCAGTTGCTTTGCAGGGAGAAGGAACAAAGAGATTTTTAGTAAAAAGCAGCACATAATACACATATTAACACCCATTAGGCACTTAACCGTTTGATTACCTGAGATGTTAACCCCTTCCCAGACAGTGTCATTAGTACAATGACAGTGTATAGTATTATCACTGATCACTTTATTAGTATCATTGGTGATGTCAGTGTGTGTTTGTTAGTTCCCACCCAGTGCCAGTTAATGTCGCATCACAATTCCACTATAAGTCGCTGATTACTGCCATTAGTAGTATAAAAAAAAATTCTAGTATATATACTATTTGCAAACGCTATAATGTTCACACAAACCAATCAATATACACTTATTGGGATTTTTTTTTATCAAAGACACGTAGCAGAATACATTTTGGCCTAAAATTATGAAGAAATTAGATTTTTTTATTTGATGTTTTATAACAGAAAGTAAAAAAATTTGTTTTTGTTTTTTCATTTATATAATAAAATAAAAAAACCCAGTGGTGATCAAATACCACCAAAGAAAGCTCTATTTGTGTGAAAAAAAAAAATATATAAATATCATATGGAAACAGTGTTGCATGACTGTGCAATTGTTAATGTATCACAGTGCTGAATGGCAAAAAAATGGCCTAGTCATCAAGGGGGTAAAACCTTCCAGAACTGAAGTTGTTAAACTACAGAACAATTACACTGTATGTAGTAGAGATTAGGAGAGGGATTCAGTAGTTTAACAAAAGACATTGGGCAGGGCTGACACCATTTCTTGCTATTTCAGTCCAGTATTTTTTATTAGGAGCTAAGTTCATTTCTGGAAGATCAACAGTTATTTTTCTGTGCTTGCAAGGTCTATAAAGGAATAAATCATGAGGAAATGGGCATGTGTTACAGAAATGTAGAGTATAGTTTTTTTTGGTCATTTTGTTTTACAGTGACATATGCTTTAACAGTTAAAGTATAACTAAAGGACCTAACTGAATGGGAAGACATTGCTTATGCTCTATCTAAAATATAATATCTATTGATACTATATTGGTAGAGTCCAATTCTAAAACACTCACATATCTCAGGATCCACACAAGTGATGTGGATGCAGGGCTTCCCCCCTTTCAGAATACACTTACCAGTGTTGCAACCATTGGCTGCAAGTGTTGATCGAATGATAGTTTTCCAGCAGGACCAATCGACAGAAGCTGGTGTTAGGCTACTGTTGAACAGGCAGCGGTAGACATGTCCAGAAATTTGGCCGTTTTCTGCCAAACCAGCTGAATTTCAGCGCATGTACACCCAGCTTTACTTTATCCAAAATGAAAAAAAAAAAACAAATTTGGCTCTTAGTTCAACTTTAAGCTGGCCTTACACTAGCAGAATTTAGTTTGTTCAGTTTTAAAATTGTCAGTGGCATCAAATCAACGTTCATTTTTATGGTGATGTAAATTCGAAGGAGTGGAATAGAAATGTTTTCTTGTTTGAACATATTTCTAAGGCAGCCTATAGATCAGTCTTTTTCTTTTTTTTTAGTGTTGTTCAACCATCCTGATGAAGGAAAAAAAATTGACTCAACTCTTCCATCCACACACTCGATGTGGATAGGGGAACCCCTCCCCCCCCCCCATCGTTGTCATTGTATTCTGACAGTGGGGAGAATATGCTGACCAGCACTGTGGGCTATGCCCTGCTTTATCTTGGATGATCCAAGGGTGTATGTTTGTGCACCATTCTGAGTAAAGATCTTCAGGTGGTCTGATTGTGTCTGTGTATCCCAAGGCTATGGTGATTTGAGTGATAGCAGACAATTAAGGACTTTGTTATTAACAAACAGTTTAAAAGAACACAGCAGGGGGTGGCTCTTGCCCTTGAAAATGCAAAACTTGGAGAGGAGAATTCATCAACAAAGAAAGAGCAAGTGAAAGTAAAACGTGTGAAAATGAAAGTGATAACTGTAGAATAGTTATAAAAAAAATACCATTGCCAATTTGAGTTGTTAAATCCAATTCTGTTCCCCTGGCAGTTCTTGGAAAAATATAAAATCAACTCTGCAAAAAAACCACACATACAGGAGGGCGCAAACTCCTCGTGCATTACCACCATACAAATTTATTAAAGTGGTTCTATGCATGAAGATAAAAAAACCTTCAGTGTGCAGCGCCACCTCTCCCCCCATCCTTATACTCACCCAAGTCTGATCTCAATCTAGCAATGTGCAAGAGAACAGAAGCTCTCCTAGGCCTCTCTCTCCTCATTGGCTGAGACACAGCAGCTAGAGCCATTGGCTCCCACTACTGTCAATCATAGTCAGCGAGGAGGAAGAAGGGGGTGGGGCCAAGCCGTGCTCTGTATGTCTGTCTTATAGACACACAGAGGCAGTTCTGGATCGAGCATGCACAGGTGCCCCCAGAGCAAGCAGCAAGCAAGTTGTACGTTGTAGGCTGTGCATGTTTGCACTGCTGTGCACCTGAAAAAGGAATGCACTTTTTTGCGTATTGCAGGAAAGGTTCACACCTCGCACAATTGTGAACCCAGCAGTTGAAAGAGGCAATTGAACCAGCGAACACACTTTCCTGCAGTTCAGATTTATGGTCCCCAAGAAAATCAAGAAAATGACTATAGGACAGCCCGGCATACAAGATGAAAATTACACCCTTAGCTGATTGTCTAAGACAGATACATTGCAAAGTGTCCATATATCATTTGATTATGAAGTATAAGATGATATATATAAGCAAAATTATCAACAGAGAAACACACTTTCCTTCAGTTCAGATTTATGGTCCCCAAGAAAATCAAGAAAATGACTATAGGACAGCCCGGCATACAATATGAAAATTACACGCTTAGCTGATTGTCTAAGACAGATACAATGCAAAGTGTCCATGTATGATTTGATTACGAAGTATAACATCATATATAAGCTAAATTATCAATCAAAACTTAAAGTGATTCTAAAGGCTTAAATATATATATATATATATATATATTAAAAATAACAAACATGTCATATTTACCTGCTGTGTGCAGTGGTTTTGCACAGAGCAGCCCGGATCCTCCTCTTCTTGGGTCCCCCGCTGGTTCTTCTTGGCCCCTCGTGCTATGAGTGCTCCTGAACATCCGCCACTCCCCAGCCGCTACACCACGTGTCCATTCACACACGGAGTTGTGGCTCAGCCCCACCTCCTCTCTCTTCTCATTGGCTCGCTGGCTGTGATTAAAAGCTCGGTGGGAACCAATGGCTCCTGCTGCTGTCTCAGCCAATGAGGAGAGGAAATCCTGAGATATAGGGTTGCCACCTCATCCCTTTAAAACTGAACACATATTCATTACACAGATTTTGAAGCTATAGTGAGTATAATTGCCATCTTAATCAGCCACAGAACCTGTGCAATGAATATGTGTTCGGTTTTAAAGGGATGAGGTGACAACCCTGCCAGGATAGCCGAGACTCCAGTGCACATCGCTGGATTGAGAGGGGGCTCAGGTGAGTATTAGAGGGGGCTGGAGGGGATGCTGCATAGAGAAGGTATTTTACCTTTTATGTATAAAATGCATGAAGGTGAAAAAAAAAAACCTTCAGCCTTTACAAACACTTTAAAAAAGAAAAAAACTACCCTACAGGTTAATAAACAGGCAGCTAGGAAAATCTAAGAGAAGCTGGTGTCTCTTTTAACAGGATATGGTTGCGTCAGCCTTGTATGACACAAATCTATTATCTATTTTATAACTATTTGTTCATTGTCCTGCGAGTGACAGTTCAAACAACATTATTTACATGTCTGGCACATACGGTATCCAATGATATCATAATGACACATGAACACTTACATAAACATGCTGACGAGTGTGGTTTGTGGTTCTCCTGCTTCTCATGTGGATTGAATAGTGTAATTTAATAACTCCACCAACACAGGTGGACAGTGACTTAGACATCTGCAGAAAATAAAGGGTAATTAATGAGAAAAATGAACTAGCTAAATTAAAAACAGACTGAAACCAAATATGTGACATCCCCATATTCCAATAAAACCACTTCAAATACATTTTTGCTATTTGAGCACACGCCCTTCCAGATCCTTCATTTGAAATGATTTAGGTTTTATTTTTAAACCAGCTCAAATCTTGAAAGTGTTAAAATATATGTTCAATTTGAAGGCAGATGACTCTTGTCACCATCATTAATGATGCACTAACTAAATGCAAAAAAGCCTACATCAGAAGAGTCTGCCTGGCCAAGTATGACAAAATATGGTGCTGTGGTTAGCGGCTGTATCAAACCGAGTTTAACCTCTTGCAGACTGTGTAGTGCATATACACTCACCAGTCACTTTATTAGGTACATCTTGCTAGTGCCAAGAAAATATCCCCCACACCATTACACCACCACCAGCCTGAACCATTGATACAAGGCAGGATGGATCCATGATTTCATGTTGTTTATGCCAAATTCTGACCCTACCATCTGAATGTCACAGCAACCAGTCCGCCCATTCTCCTCTGACCTCTGACATCAACAAGGCATTTTCGTCCACAAAACTGACACTCACTGGATATTTTCCCTTTTTCAGACCATTCTCTGTAAACTCTAGAGATGTGCATGAAGATCAGGGGTTTTGGAAATATTTAGACCTGTCTGTCTGGCACCAACAACCATGCCACGTTCAAAGTCACCTAAATCTCCTTTTTTCTCCATTCTGATGCTCGGTTTGAACTTCACCACGTCTAGATGCCTAAATGCATTGAGTTGCTGCCATGTGATTGGCTGATTTGCAATTTGTGTTACCAAGCAACTGAACAGGTGTACTTAGTAAAGTGACCAGTGAGTGTATGTGGCAAGAAAGGAGGATTTAAAGTGGTTCTAAACCCAGGACCCTGCATTCACTCTATATGGTCTCCCATAGCACACACAACATGGAAATGCAATTATTTTAGTAAACATAAACTGCTAAATACCTTTTCTCATCAGTAGTATATGGAAGTCTTGTGACTTCTATCAGTATCCAGCTGAGCACTGGTTAATCTTGTTGGAGGAGTTTTCATTTTCATCTGACTGTTCTATGAGGCTGCATGACTCTCTGTCCGGACAGCACTGATTGGCCCTGTGCCAACCACATGCACCCTCCCCCCTTCAAAAAAAAAAAAACTCTAGCAATACACACCAAACAGAGTATGTGCAGACTTGTCACTGCTGCTCTGTACTATAGCAGAAGGATTGGGGACAGTAGAAGAAGGAGAGGATCAGAGAAGGCATGATCAAACAGCCTTTTTACACAATTAGTATTAATATTATACAGGATTTATATAGCGCCAACAGTTTGCTCAGCGCTTTACAATATAAAGGGAGACAATACAGCAACGATACAGTTCAATACAAGAGGGTTAGGAGGGCAGAGGATTAACCCCTTAGGTTTCACAGTGAGTACATCAAGCATTCTTTATTGGCTACACACACTGATTCTACTGTTGTGGGTTTAGTAACACTTGAACACCCTGCAGCAGCTGCACCTACTGTATGTGTCTATGACATCCTAAGGGTTGTGTGCTGAGAGGGGGCTTGCTGTGCGCTCGAAGCACGCTGATTAAACTATAGCCAATAGTTCTTGGTTATGGCTTTTTATTGGGAGTCAGTGGGACAGGCTCCCGAGCATGTGACCAATATAAGAGCCAATCACCGCGATCACATGATACAGAAGCCACAGCATTAAGGGGTGATTGTTTTATATACATGATTTCTTGTATCTCAACCTTTGTTAAAAATCTGGGTAACAAATGGGGATCAAGAGAAAACCATTGTGTGAATGTGCGAGTGCACGCAGTGAATAAATACAATGAAAACATGTTGTTTTGGTATGTAAGCTTACTGTTTGCTTTAAATCATTGTCAAAATGTATTCATAAATAAAACATCTTTAACCACTTGCCTTCCTGAGGAGTTACCCCCCTTCCTGACCAGGCCATTTTTTTGCGATACGGTAGTGTTATTTTAACTGACAATTGCGTGGTCATGCAACTATGCACCCAAATGAAATTTATGACCTTTTTTTCCCACAAATAGAGCTTTCTTTCGGTGGTATTTGATTGCCTGTGCGGTTTTTATTTTTTGTGCTATAAACGAAAAAAGGCCGACAATTTTGAGAAAAAAAACAATATTTTTTACTTTTTGCTATTAAACATGTCCAGTTAAAAAATTAAAAAAATCAAATTTCGTCATAAATTTAGGCCAAAATGTGTTCTGCTACATGTCTTTGCTAAAAAAAATCCCAATACATGTAAATTAATTGATTTACCTGAAAGTTATAGCGTTTACAAATGGCGGTATATATATTGGGACTTTTTATTTTTACTAGTAATGGGCGGCGATAAGCGACTTATAGCGGGTCTGCAGTGGGCATTCTGACACTGGGGGGAAGTGACTTAGTGTCATTGACACCAATACAGTGATCAGTGCTAATAAGCACTGACACTGTACTAATGGCACTGGGCAGGAAGGGGTTAACATCTGGGTCGATCAAAGGGTTAACTGTGCGCTGTTTCACTGTGTGCTGTGTGTGTACTTTCCACTGTAAGCACACTGCTTTGTATGTCTCTGCTATCCTCAGCGTGCAGGACCTGACAGGTGAGAGATCTGTGTTGTTTACACACAGGTCTCTCCCCTGTCGCAGATACTCAGCGATTACTGGGTGCCAGCGAGAAATCATTGGCCGGGACTCTGCGACTGAGATATACGTGATTTTGCTATAGGGCAGAGCGGAAGCGGTTAAATATGAAGACAGTTGGGTAAACTGGATATATTTTTCCTATAAAAAATATATTCTAAGAGAGTTTGTTCATTGTTTGTGGCCTTTTCAAAAACATTTCTGACATTCCAAAACAGACATTCTGACCATTTTAACCCTCTTGTCTTGAATTGTATTGTAATTGTACTGTTCTTTTATTCTGTAAAACACAGCACAAAACAGTGGTGATATACAATATAAATCCTGTATAATAATAATTGCACAAAGTACAATGTAAATACAAATTAAAGTGGTTGTAAAGGCTAAAGGGTTTTTACCTTCATGCATTCTATGCATAAAGGTAAAAAAAACCTTCTGTGTGCAGCAGCTCCCCCAGCCCCCTCGATACTTACCTGAGCCTCATCGTGATCCAGCAAAGCGAATGCCAGCCTCGACTGTCCCGGGTCTCTGTCTCCTCATTGGTTGAGAAAGCAAGCGGAAGCCATTGGCTCCAGGTGCTGTCAATCACAGCCAGTCAGCCAATGAGGAGAGGGGGGTGGGGCCAAGCTGCAGATCCGTGTGTGCATGGACATATGGAGCAGCAGGTGCCCCCATAGCAATCTGCTTGCTGTGGGGGCACCCAACAGACAGGAGGAGCCAGGAAAGCCTGCGGGGGATCTGAGAAGAAGCGGATCCAGGCTGCTCTGTGCAAAACCACTGCATACAGCAGGTAAGTATAGATATGTTTGTCATTTAAAAAAAAAAAAAGAACCTTTAGAATCGCTTTTAGAGTTCAGAGTCTTGTTCACATAAGACCCCTTTCACACAAGAGATCCAATCAGGTCCACCTGTCAGTTTTTCAGGTGACCTGATTGGATGGTTCATTCACCCCTATGTACAGGTGGGTGTAAACAGACTTGTATTAGTTTACACCCTCCTATTCTCTGATCAGATCTGGTCTGCTACGATAAAAACGATAAAACCAGAGGGTAGTCAGTGCAGTCCATTTACACCCAAACCACCCACAGAGCAGAGTGGGCTCTGTCCATTTCCCTTCTGCAGAAACTGACATGGATATCATCCACCCATTCTGCTCTGATCAGAATGGGATCTGTGAGCATAAGAAAGTAGCATAAGAAAAAAATGTATATAAATATAAATGATAGTGTATCAAAAGAAAATCTCCTGTAAAAATTTCATAGAAGGAAGAAATACTATCTATGTATGCTTATCAGTCACACAACATGTCATTTAGAGAAAAAGTATATAGATGTATCCATTACAATCAAAAGGGCTGTAAGGATGCCCCAATGATGCTCTTATTTTGAGAGCTGAGGGCCAATAAGGGCTAGATTACACTATAACCCTTGAGTTGTATAGATCTGGAGACCTAACTCAAGGGCACATAGAAAAAAATTGTTCTATGGACTAATGCAGCCTTTCTCAACCCATTTACCCCTGAAGAACCCTTAAAATAATTATCAGGTCTTGGGGATTCCTGCTAAAATTATTATTCGTAAAGCTCATGGTGCATTAGCGCAATCAATAAGTTGAAAAAGTTTTAAATGAAAGAATAAGTAATGTGTTGTTCCTAGCTTTTTTGACACCCTGGGCATAGAATCTGGTTACCCACAACCTAGAAAAAGAAAGGAAGCGTAAAACAGTCAAAACCACGGTGCCCTCTAACATACGTTGTCATCTTACATTCGTGGCTATTGGAAAATTGCCCTCTTGCTTTGGGGGTCAGTGTAGGTGGAAGATCAATCTACCATTGCTCAAGGAACCCCTAGCATCCTCTGCAGGAACCCTGGTTGAGAAAACTTAGTCCAAATGTGTCAAACACAAGGCCTGTGGGCCAAATCTGGCCTGCCCTGCCATTTTATGTGGCCCTTGCATCTCTCCTGCAGCTGCTGCACCCTCCTCATCTCCAACTCCACCTTGTCTCTGCAGTCAGCAGCAGAAAGGAGGGCAGAACTCTTTCACTAGATCCTCTGCTTCTCTGTGTAGTTGCACAGAGGCTCATTTCTTCACCCCCCATCTTAGCCATTGGCAGAAGAGAGATGGACAGAACTCAGATCTTGCACCTCTCAGTGCAGCTGCAGCACCCCTTCTCTGGTCCTTCTCCAGACCCTGCAATTTCTGCTTCCCAGCTCCGCCCCCTAGCTTCTTCCCGGCAGCAGCACAAGGTAGAGAGGGTGCACTGTGATTCAAGGGAGGGTGGGGGACTCTTGACTTCTTATGGTGGGGGGCAATTGACATCTGATGTAAGGGGGGTGGGTGCTCAAGACATCTAGTCTTACAATTACAAACTGGCCTTTGAGGGCAACAATAATGCTGATGTGGCCCACAATAAAAATTGAGTTTGACACCCCCCTGCCCTAATCCATTGTTTTCAACACGCTGCAGTACACAGAGTTGGTTGAATTGATTTTTGAAAGCTCTTTAAAAGCTCTGTCAAGTTTTATTTGCTGTTTGTGTCCAGAGTTGGGAGATTTTTCTAAATCGCCTGTTGTATCACTGGTAAAGGAAACAAAGGAAAAACTCACAAACAGGGACGCAAACAGCAATCTAAAACACTTTGTTTTTGCTGGAGTTGAATTTCAATATAATTTAGTTTCAGTTTTCAGGTTTTTTTAGCCCATGGCAAATCCATCCCTAGAGAAGATATCAGGATGCGCTGCCTCCGGAGTGATGTTTCATTTATAACTTTGCTACCTTTGCCACCTATTCCAATGAAAAGCAGTCCCGTACAGTCACTAGATATTGCATTTCCATATTCTAATGGTGCAACTACATGAATAAGTTCAAAGGTTCAGACTTTCATTTTGGAGGGCAGCCAGTGCTAAAACCGTTTTCATATGGCTGTGTAGCAGTTTATTTTATCCATGAAACGGAAAGTGAAATAGGTTTAAACATTGCTACAACAATAAACAGGGCTTCAGCCTGGGTTGATGGCTGTGCAAAGTTTGGGCAAGCAGATGGAATTTCTCTTTATTACAAAAATACGTTTGGAGCTATTTTGGAAGGCTGTCTCTACAAGAGGAAATAAAACGTGTCGAGATGATGGATAAATCTGGAATGTAACATATTAACAATGTACACAGTTCTCTTTTTTTTCTTAAACACACAGCATTCTATCTGAAAGAGGGAGATTTTTGCTAAATATTTTAATAATCAATTAGCCCGATAATAATAATTAAAGCGTACAGTGATAATGAACATTAATAGGATGAACGCAGACATCATTGTTATCTGTATAAAGCATGCCAAATTCATTTGGCAATGAAAAGCTAATAAAA